ATTTTATCCTAAACTCACATTTTAGAGAAATTACAATGAGGTCTCAAACCCTGATGACAAGAGAGCAGTTGTCATTTACTATCTTAAAAATTGTTATTGCAAGTTGCTCTATTGTTACTGGGACTTTTTAGTCAGTTATGTTCTTTACTTGGGACTTCGACTTCATAGCAATTCTCCCACATTTATTTAGTCTTTCCTCTTATGTCATAATTTTTCATAATTAATGTGGAGGTTTATTTCAAATTACAGTTATCTATTTTTTCCCCTATATATCATATTTATGATTATAGCCCCTTGATTCATTCAAGCGAGCGCCTTTCTACTGCCACTTGCCTATGGTTTTGTACAAATACGCTCCTTGAGGGTGTCTTTCATCTTTGGCAAAACCACTTCTGCTAAACCATATGGGTTGGTGTCTTAACAATCTTCCACTTTTGGATTTATTGACGCAAAAGTTGTTGAAAACTATGAAAAATTTGGAGCATGTTGGTAGCTTTGGTCATTCAAACATTTGTTTAAGGACCATTTACCAACCTGTTTTTAAATTTTTGAGGACATGGTGTTTAAGTGAATGTCTCTTTATTGCTTCAATCTGACTTCCAAATAACTTCGCCTACTCTTGAACTCGATGTGATGTTCATTTGTGGATAACATACTATTGTTTGCTGAGCTTGGCAATAGCACTTCAAGTTGAATGGTGGTTCCAATTGCTAAAATGAAAGAAAATGAATACCTAGTTAATTATTTAGGTTTGGTTGGCTTGCCTTAACCATATTTCCAATATATTTCTCTACGCAGGTGAAACTTTTGATAGTTTGGCTTCTGTGCTACTCATAAGTTCTGGTTTACATGAATGCATGTGATTGACTGTTTAAACTCATTAAACTACTAAATTTATGAAGCTACTGTGGTAATTTGTGTTTGTACGTCTTCACAGTTGAGGCAGGAGCATGAGATTTAATTGTGAATGGATATCATATTTAACTCGCATTGGCAAGGAAAAGTGATTAATCATGACCTTGTATTTGATGATCAAGGACACTTCATGCTGCAAAAAGAACCTTAAGCATGCTCTCGTGCTGCTAATTAAGGTCCCTAAATCCTTGTTCTGAAGGGTGCGAGGGAATGAAAAGTATACACTTTGTTTGAGAGTTTTCTGTTTTCCTTGTGGGGCTAAAATTGAATGTGATCGACGTCAATATTGTAAGACATGGTTACCCTCGCACCTCCTTGATCAGCTTTATTAACTACCTGCAAGTCAGCAAAAGGTTAGAAGCATTGCTTGCTGTTTTGTGAATGGGTCGAAAATGTTTTTGATTCATTGAGCTTTGGAAGGTAACCTGATTTCATAGGACAACAGAGGGGTATACAAGTTGAATGAGAAACCTCCCCAAGAACTAGCTATTGAGATAGGATCACCAATTCAACTAGTATCCTATAGACCATTCTGTCTTACCGTAATTAGTCTTCATCAACTGGTATTCTTTGAAGCATCTCGATGGTTGCGCTTTGACGCTTCACTTGGCTTCCTCAATGGTGTGAACTCTCCACTTATCAGAACTCTCCAGATTGCACTTCCCAAAAATTGCTGATAACTAACCAACCTTGATAAAATTGATGGTTACCCCAGTAACATGGATAAACCTCCCCTAAAAACTAGCTATTAAAATGGAAAAACCAATCTACTTAAGTATTTCGCGGAGCATCTCGTTTAACTCAATGAGAGGCACAATAAGACATTCCATGCTAATCTTGGTCTCCGTCAGTAATCAAACATTCAGGTGGGCGGTGAGCCACTAATTTTATTTCACTCAATTCACCCAGGACGGCTAGGACAGGTTGGCTGAGGCAATGAGGCCTCTTACCTGCTTCTGAGAAAACAGTCACTAGTAGGTGGAGAATAATTATTTTCTGCCAGGTGGGAGGAGGATGCTTCCAATGAATTAAGCTGCTAAGTACAAGGGTGCTTTGAGAACTGAGAACTAGCATTGAGAAATTGCAAAAAGGAAAACTGATGGCTGGTTTCTTACATAGTGATGATCATATGAAGTATCATGGGCACCGCAGCATGTTTTTATTACCATTTTTGTTATATGAAGAGTGTCAGATATTGCATTATTTACGTATCTTGAATATGATTTTGTATGCCATGCTAATTCACACCCGTGCACTTACCTAGTAGATGGGTTTCGTTTCCCCAGATGGTGTCTGATGTCCATGAAACATAACACGTTTGTTTCAGGAACGGGTGAAGCAGAAGGTATCATCAAGGGGCAAATATGTGTCTGTAAATATCGGGCCAATCCAAGTTGTTTCGAGCGAACAGGTTTTTACGTCTTTTAATCTTTGTAATTTAACCTTAGTACATATGCGATTCTTAATGAAGGAAAAACCCTTTTGTTACTCACCCGAAAAAGGAAGTAGTGCATAGATATTTTCTCTTACAATTCACTGAAGATTCTATATATAAATATTTCATTGATTAGATCTTGTGTTGTGGATTGAGTCTTCCCTGAATATTTGTAATGTTACTGCATTTTTCAGGTGCAAGCGGTCTATAATGCCATGAGGAGAGATGAACGGATGAAGTACTTCTTATAATCCGTTAGGTCTTTTTTTTGTATAGAATGCCAGGCTCCCCGGCGATGTATTTATGATACTGGGACTGGGAACGTTCACTGTGTGCAGGCAGCATGACAGATTTGGCCATTTATTTATTCTTTCTTCATATATAAACAGATTTTCATATATCATATATGTGAAGGAATGGCTGGATCTGCTGTGGCTGTTGTCCATCAGCACGACAGAAAATCCCGATTCATGATTTGCCTGCTTTCCAGTAGTTAGCTTGATTATATCTGTCTAACCCATGTTTCTGTGTTGTTCTAGCAACCAGAGATCACTTGTATTTGCTAGATATGTGTAACTTACTACCCTTTGTGACTGAAAGGAAATATAGTAGACAATTTTGTTGTTACTAGTAACAGACATGATTATCTTCATGAAATTCTCCTATATTTGAATTACTCTTCAGTCCTATTTATAGGCCATCCTTTAGAAGCATTTCATGGTTTCATGGTTTTATTTTTAAGTCACTTCACAAGATCCATGAAACAATGAAATTTTTTTTTCCAATAACACCCTTGTTACTTATTTATGGTGGCGAAAGGGATTGAAAGACATGCGTAAGATTGGATTATAGTTAGTTAACAAGGGATATTATTGGATAGATAGGGAAAATTAATTTACAGGTGCCTATACTTTTCTTCAATTTGTAAATCGGTACTTATTTTGTTTTTTCCCCCCCTCAATTTATTAAATCTTTTAATTTCATTTTACTTTTCTAATATTACCTCTATTTAAAGTCATTAATAACGCAGAGAATGTAATACAAACCAAAAAATTAAAAAAATTGTTATTCTATATTTTCATACGAAGCTACTAACTTAACTACCCTTCCTTGTTTCTGGTGAGATGGTTGACGGTTAGATTCGAGAGGTGGTTTGAAGTGTTTTAGAATGAGTAGAAGGAGGATGTTATCTTTCATGCGGTTTGATGGTTAGATTCGAGAGGTGGCTTGAAGTGTTTGAAATTGTGGGGCATTGAATAGAGTAAAACTGGGGGAAAAGAATTATACAGATCTTAGATTCTGTTTTCTCCTTAATATGTGTGGTTTTTCTCATGATATTTTTTTTTTTTCCCGGCCATGACTTTCTTATGATAATGAGTAAATAGCGATAGGAAAAGTACTCCATCTGTCCACAAGATATTTTCTGGTCCTATTTATAAGACAGAGAAAGAAGACATTGTTTGGTCCTATTTATAAGATATTGAGAGACTTTTTTGTATAAATGTATAATTTTAGCCTTCATTTATTATTGTATTGACTTTGTTTATATGAAGTATAATATATATTAAATAGGAATAAAATTAAAAACTTGTTGAATTTTAAATGAAAATTAATAAAAGTTAAGGTTTTTTTTAGTTTGTGTAAAACATATTGGAAGTGACTTATAAATATGACTAGAGAAATAAGTCATTTCTAAAAGAATAATTTAGTCCAAAATATAAGTCACTTAAAAAATAATTCTTATTTGTCAATTTTTTTTCTGCAATGAATACTTAAATATACTCCTTTGATCATATTTATAGAGCAAAGAGAAAAAACACTTTTGGTCCTATCTATAGAAAAGTGAAAGAAATTCTTTATATGAATGTACAATTTTATCATTTATTTATTATTGTGTTAAATTTGTTTACATAAAATATAATGTATATTAAATAGGGATAAAATTAGAAAGTCATGGAATTTTAAATGAGAGGTAATAAAATTTAAAATTTTTTTATTTATATAAAACATATTGAAAATAACTTATAAATAAGAGTAGTGAAATAATTGCAATGTATTTCTCTCTCTCTCTTTTTTTCCCACAATCTCATTTAAATAGCAATAGTAGCTGGGTTTTGGATTTTCCAAAACTTTGGTTTGAATGGAACAATAAACTTTGGAACAAGGCTGCGTCCGTATTTCAAGTTTCAAGGGTGCCGGCACGCCGCGTTGTGCTTAGTGCCCTTCCCCTTCACCGTTGAAAATCAGATTCAGAGCCTTCGAAAAGGACATTACTCTGTGAAGTTTTCAAACCAATTAAGTTATTATTATTATTATTATTATTATTGTTCCAAATTGATTGCTTATGGTGAGTATCGTACATGAGTTTGCCAAACGTGACAGTAATGTGTAGGAAACTTGGCCTATTTCTTTGTCTATTTCGTCTACAAAGATAGTGATGAGATTTTTTTTTTTTTTTTTGTGTCAAAACTTTCCATGCTCAGGGATGTGTCCCTATCTGAAAAAATCTGTCATTTTCTTTTCACGTTTATTTAGTTCCAGAAATGTTGTGAATCATTTTTCTATGCTTTTAATTCTGAACCGATTGCGCGTCTTCCACCTTTATTATTATTTTCTTGTTTTATTATTTACCACTGTTAATCATTAAATCTTTAAATAAATAGTTAATAGGAAGATCTAATCAATAACTTCACTGATTGTCGCAGTCCTTTATCTTTTTAAAAGATTCCATATTGTTTAATCAATCTTCCTCGTCCGTCCATTTAATGGCCTTATATATCACGTACTCATCTCAAATTTCTCATCTCAGCTATCCCACTTATATGATCACGTACTCATCTCAAATATTCTCATCTCAGCTATCCCACTTTATTCCAATATTGTTCCTCTAAAAACGCTCAGCATTTACTACCATATAATATTTCTGATCTGGGATTTGTAACAATACAATAAAACTTCCTTTTTCACCTTATTAGATGCTTTCCTATTACAAATAACTTCAGTAGCTTTTCACCATTTAAACCACCAACTTGAATTATATATATGATTAACATCTCCATCAATTAAGCCATTTTTTTTGTAATTAATCCCAAATATCTAAACTTTGTCACTTGCAGGATGGTTTGATCTCCCAATTTAACTTTCCTATCATTTTTCACCTGTCTCTCATCGACACATATATTCTATCTTGTTTTTACTCAGCTGAAAACCCTTTGGCCCCAGGGTCCTCCATAAATTAAGTTTAGAGCAAATCTCATCTTTTGACTTGGGCCAAAAATAAAAAAAACTATATCATCAGCAAACAGTATGCATTTAAAGATTTTTTTTTTATAAGCTTAGGTAGAATATCTAGGATTAGGGTTAAATAAACAAGGGCTCAAACGTGATTCCTGATACAGGCCAATCCTTATAAGAAAATTTTTTGTCTCACCTCAGAGCATTCTAACATTAGTTGTTACCCCTCACATACGTTTGCATGACTTCAATATATGCAACACTCTCGGAAATTAAATTAAAACATTAATTGTTCTTAATATGATTTGTGAAATTTGGATTCTATGATGTCATTAAAACTTGAAAGAACTGAGACAACTTGGCTGCGAAGACCATCTACTACGCTATCGCATGATTGTACGTTTTGAAAGAAAATACAATGAGACAAAACAATTCCACCTCCCAACATTCATTTAATTAGGAGTTCAATTCTAGTAATGTTTGAATAAAACCATTGTTTCTTGGTCAAAAAAAAAGAATAAAACCATTGTTTCGGTTGGAGTTTTGGCAATGTTTGAAAAAGGTCACCCACTAAATTATGAATGAAAACAAATAATTACTTCACAGACATTAATTAAGAAAAGCATTTTTTTTCCTTTTTAATAAGTGAGAAATTAAAGTTTTTTCCACAAATAGATCTAACTTTTTACTTTATATTCAATGATTTTTAGTTACTATTCCCAGTTTAGTTTTTCAAAATTCTGTTCTTATCCAAAGATTAGAGGGAAGAAAATACAATGAGACAAAACAATTCCACCTCCCAACATTCATTTAATTAGGAGTTCAATTCTAGTAATGTTTGAATAAAACCATTGTTTCGGTTGGAGTTTTGGCAATGTTTGAAAAAGGTCACCCACTAAATTATGAATGAAAACAAATAATTACTTCACAGACATTAATTAAGAAAAGCATTTTTTTTTCCTTTTTAATAAGTGAGAAATTAAATTTTTTTCCACAAATAGACCTAATTTAATGTCTAACTTTTTACTTTATATTCAATGATTTTTAGTTACTATTCCCAGTTTAGTTTTTCAAAATTCTGTTCTTATCCAAAGATTAGAGGGAAGAAAAAATCACTTACATGTTAAATTTTAAAATGACAAATAAATGATTTTAACATATTTTGAATGGTAAAAACTATTATAAGTGTAGTCAAAGTTATTACAAAAATAATCAGCATAACCTATTTGTCTTTTTAAAATTCAACAAATATTTTCCTGTCATTATATTTTAAGATTTTTTTAATTTTGGTAAAGCATATTAGATTAATAATTACCACTCTGTTACTATATATAAGTTATTCCTAGCAAAAAAATTTATTCATAAATATCAGTCACTTATTAGGTAATTATTAACTTTTTTTTTCAGTTTTACCCCATTGAATATAATTTAAAAAAATTTGAGAGAAAATGTATAATATACCTTTTTTTTCAATATCTTTTTCTAATAGGCAAAAAATGTGGAAAATTTTATTAATTTAACGTGTTCTTAGTATGCGAAGGCTTGTTTGCTTCTACTTATTTTGAGTGCTTATTAACAGTTTTAATAAGCAAAACATGACTCTTTTCATATACTTATCTTGTATTTTATAAAACACACTTAAAAACCTATTTATAAATTATTCCAAATAATTCCTCCTATATAAGAAAAGAGTGGCACCATATGTACTAAAAAGTGACCTTCAAGAAAGCTTCCATGATTCGGTCAAAAAAAAAAAGAAAGCTTCTATGAGAATCGCCATCATGGAACTAAACAATTCTTGAAATGTCCAATGATGCAACATATGACCTTTATTGAAATCATCAATGGATATATAATTACGATTTATTTTGTTTTTGCACAGGGCACAAACAATTATTGAAAATATTATTGAAAAATGGACCGGAGGATAGTTTAAAAAGCAATATATATAAACTGCCTCAAATTCTTAATATATAAGTTAATATATAAGTTAGATAATTAATTTTAAAAAATAAAAAAAAATTAGTCAAGTTGATTGCTTGTAACAAATGCTATCATTTCAAATCATCTACATTTGAGCTACTCCTTGGTTGGAATCCTTACAATCAATAAGAATATATTAGAAAAACAGTTATAGATTTGAAAAACAAAATAAATTGAAGTTTTATATTTACAGCTAAACTCAACCCTCAAATTAGCTTTTATATTAAGAATAAAAAATAGTATATATTAACAATTAATTTGACAATGAAAAAACAAAAGGATTCACATTATTAGAGTAAAAAACCATAAGAATTTTAGAAAAAGTTGTAATAGTTATCCTGTGGGTATTAAAAACACATAGCAATTGAAGATTATATTGTTAGCAGCATGAAAAGGTCAATTCATACTGAAACGATTTACATTGTGTTACAATTGGTTGAGTGGTAAATAAAAACGCACATATGAA